TGCGTGACAAAAATAACTTTGAGTCGCAGCAAGAAAGCGAGAGGAATTATTTACCTGTAGGCACAGCAAAATGATCAACACCGTTGTGCATGCCCAAAGCAATTTTCTCCTCCAAGCCAAAATAGAGCCAGAGTTATCAGAAAGGTCTTAATAATGGATAAAATGCTTTTATGGTCTAGAAAAAAACATAAATGCCGAGTGAAATATCGAATCGAAGATATTTTAGGTTTATAATCAGGTCCAATTTAATCAATAGCCAATTTAATCATCATTGCTGCTCAAGCGAGCGGAGTGCAGTGTTCATTAATTTCACAAAAATCAATAACCATCAGAGGGTGAAGTGACGAGACATTTGTTGCTTGTCAAAAAAAAACATCATTTGTTTCTGGCCAGGAAACCCACTCATGTGATTTTAGTTTCTCATAGAGGGGAGAATCCCCCCCACCCCCCGGAATGTCCCCGTCGGTCAGACATACTCACACACTCATAATCACTCACTCACATACTCACTCACACAACAGCAACCGCCATTCGCCACTAAGTGGCGGTGACGTCACCACGACGCTTGTGCCAGGCTACGTGCACGTTGAGGCCACGTGAATGTCGAACACCCGCTGCATTTCACTTGGGTTGGGAGATCATCTCTGCCCGGTGCCTTTCCTGGTCTCAGACTCTGGATCGCCTTCAGTACTTCCTCAACAGATGGCACCTTAGCCAGCCACTCATAGGGGATGACTTCTTCTTCCAATATTTGTGGCACCGCAGCCTCAGCAGGGTCATCCCCACTTTGTCCCACAATGTTTTCCAGGCTGAGGGATTTCCCCTCCCCCAGGACCTCACAGAAATGCTCAGAAAATTTGCAAACCTGTTCCTGGGGGTGAGAGATTGGATCACTGTTCTTTATCCCTAATGACGGTAATAGGTGTGGCGCTGCAGGTTACTTTTTGATGGAGTTAAAGAGCGATTTATGGTCGCGGGCCATTGAGGCAGACTCCATCTCCTCAGCAACCTGTGACTACCACCCATCCTTGCAGCGCCTCACGGCTCTCCGAACCTCCGAACAAAGGCTGCGGTAAGCCTCCTCATTCTCTGACGTGGGATGCTGTAGACGATGAGAGTGGGCCTGTCACTTTTTCTCAGCCAGCCTGGACACCTCCTCTGTCAGCCAGGGTCTCTGGGGAGGTCTGGACCATGTACCCAAAGCCGCCATTGCAGCTGCATGAGCCACAGTCCTAAACCTCGCCAATTTCCCCTCGACATTAGGAGGAGTGGGTGACGATGCCAACCCCATCTGCAAGCGATGATGAAATTCTTGCTTAAAACTTTCATCAGCTAGCTGAGACCGTGCCAATTTGGGTTTGAATGGGGTCCTGGGTGTCCACCCACCACCGGAGTGGAAGAATGGCAGGCGCATCTTACAGATAACAAGTCGATGGTCAGTGGGCAGATCAGCTCCACGGTAGGTCCTGGTGTCAAGGACATGGGCCCGCGTCCGCTTTCCGTCACTATGTAGTCCAACAGATGTTCTTGCTTGGACCCGGCATACATCCATGATGTTGTGTGGATGCGCCGATGCCGGAACAGTGTGTTGGTAATTACAAGCCCATAAACTGCACAAAAATCTAGCAGCCTCCTACAATTGTTATTTAACTGATCTGGCCCATGCCTTCCAATCACTCCAGACCAGGTGCCAGCATCATGACCAACTCGGGCATTGAAGTCGCCCAACAAGATGACTCTATATTCTTAGGTTTTTTCGGTAAAGTCACGTAGGTAGCAGAGGTATGTGGATGACACTTTCGTCATCTGGCCACATGGCCTCCCAGCATTGAACCACTTCTTGGACCACATCAATTCCAGACACCCATCCATCAGATTCACCATGGAAGTGGAGAAAGATGGTAAACTACCATTCTTGGATATTCTGTTTGAGAGGAGACCTGACGGATCCTTGGGACATTCTGTCTACAGGAAAGCCACCCACACAGATTCCTACTTGAAACCGGATTCCCACCACCACCCATCTCAAAAGAATTCTCTCATCAAAACGCTATACCACAGAGCCCATGGCATTTCTGACCAACACCACCTGACCGGTGAATTAAGACATGTACATCGGGCCCTCAGGATGAACGGATACTCTGACTGCACCATCCGCCAAGCTGTTTCTCCCACCATACAGATACAGCCACATGAAACTCCGACCAAAACTATCACGTTACCATACATAGCAGGCGTGACCAAAAAGATCTCCAAAATTCTAAACAAACATAAGATCCAAGTCCGATTCAGTACAGTGCATAAAATCCGTGATCTGATTCCATCTGTGAAGGATATCGTTCCTGACTTACAATATCCTGGTGTCTACAAATTGAGTTGCAGTTGTGGTGATTGCTACATTGGAGAAACGAAACGTCATGTTTCTGATCGTGTCCGCGAGCACAAGTCAGATCTGAAACACGGCAGAACTGATTCTTCGGCCGTTGCCGATCATTGCTACAACTCTGTGGGCTCTCATGAAATTGTCTTTTCCGAGACCAAGGTGCTCTGCAAACCTCCTGGCTACCATCAAAGGTTTGTACAACCAGCCATACAAATATACAAACACAGACATAATTTCAACCGTGATGATGGTTACAAACTGAGTAATCATTGGAAAGATGTGATTAACCATGCAAAAAAGATTTAACTACACTTATTTGGACCATCTTATTTGACAGACAACTATTACAGGTTATTGATAGACAGCCAGTTTTGTTTTACCAGGTTTAGTTTTTTCTTTCTTTTCTTACACTTTTGTTATGTAGGCTAGGCGTAGTCACAAACCGCACCTCTCCATAACAAAGGCTCAGTCTTTTGTTATGCAGTCTATTCTTAGTCTTAAGCCTCACCTTACCATATTAATAAAAAGTGTGCCGTACTTGGCCCTTCCCCTCTTCAACCATTATATATACGGAGTGGTAGCTCTTGTGTTCTCTCATTTACGTGATACAGCTGTCGTGGCTGTGACGGTTCCACCTGAAGACGGAAGCTTGTGTTGCCTCCGAAACGTCGTGATTTTTATTTTATTTAACTTTTATTAATTTAAATTTATTACCTACGTGACTTTACCGAAAAAACCTAAGAATATGAATCCTTGCAGTCACGAAAGCTTCAAATCTAAGAGGACTCTATCCCGAAGGGGCCACTTTAGCTAGCACCTGTGTGACAGAAGGTCATAAAAGGCATCTGCCGCAATCCCTCCACGGATGTTCGTCTTCGGTGGGGGCATAAGTAACTACGACCACCACTCCTCACCTCTGGTTGATGGGAAGGTGAGCCCAAAGTAGCCTGGGGCTTACAGCTTCCCACAACTCACCACCACGCTCCCACGCCCCCTTCATTCTTTTGTTCAGAAGAAGAGCCACTCCATGTTGTTTGGCAGTCTCCTGCCCCGAGTAGAGGACTGTCCACCCCTCATGGTGGCAGGAGCCAGAGCCAGTCCACCGAACCTCCTGAATACCACAGAGATCCAGGCGGTACTGGTCCAGCTCCCGACAGAGGAGTGGCAGCCTCTCCTCCGCAGTGGCCACACGAAGTGGTTTTTTGTTGTTTCTGGAGGAGCTTCGAGGGTAAGGATTCAGTCTCCTGGCTCCGCCAAATGGGGGTTGGCTCACTCACACACACTTACTCACTTACACACACTTACTCACACACTCACTCACACTCACACACTCACTTACTTACACACACTCACACACTCACATACTCACTAACACACTTACACACACTCACTCACTTACACACTCACACACTCACTTACACACACTCACTCACTTACACACTCACACACTCACTAACACACTCAGTCACACGCTCACTTACACACACTCACTCACACGCTCACTTACACACACACTCACTAACACAACTCTCTGCGTCTCCATCCTCCACATCAAGTGCCACCTTCACAATTCGGCCACCAAATAATTAAAAGCTGAGGCTCTCTCTATAGAATCGAGAAATAGTTATATCAAACTAAACATTTTTTTTGTCGTTTATGTTTGGATTAACATTTAAAGAAGCACATCTACTGTTAGACCATTAGGACTGCAGTAAGATATGTGCGTAAACAAAAATAATTCAATACAAAATTACCCGCGCAATGCGTCGTCTGACCACAGAACCCTCTTCCCATAACGTAATAGTGATTGTGTATGTGTGGGTGTGTACCTGTCTGTTCGTCTGTGTGGGGGTGTGTGGCGAGCGGTTAGCGCATTGCACCACGAACCCGGCCACCCGAGTTCGATTCCCGCTCATAGCCAATACCGGTGACGGTTATCTGAACCGGTCCTGGGTCTCCCCTAGATTGACTCTGCCTAAAATGAGTACCTGGTGCGGTGTGTAATAACATCGCCACTAAAGGAGGCCCGGGCGTGGTGCTGGCAACTCACCCCCTCGTGTGCCGTGCCGGCCTTGACATGTGCAGCTCGCTAACAGCACTTGCCCCAAAAGTCTGTTAAGACTATACGGGGGGTTTTTGTCTTTGTGGTGCGCGTTACTGTCCACGAGACGAGACAGCATCCACAGTGACGGTGAGGATTGATCTTCGGTGCTTGACCACGCTTGGTGTTGTCGAAACGAGTAAGTGCATGGTGCGATTTGTGTCTTGAAAGAACGCCATCCAGGAGAAGGGTGAGAGATCAACTCTCGGGAGAGAAATCAAAGTGACTTTTTGCTCTTTTTGAACCTCATCCCCAATCTAACACAGAGAGAGGGAGGGGACCTACCTATACACATCTTGCAGTTCACCAGCATTGGTTGAAGCAAGCCTGACTCTGCTGACGAGACACAATGAATGCTCAAACCGGTCCTGAGTTTGCGTGTGTCGGACAAAATGCGAATGAAATAACACGCTCCCAGGTGGCCGTGTGGCTGACGTGGAGGGACAACCGTGGGAGCGAGGGATAGTGCCTTGCCTTATTTTGTGCACACTGACGCCGGCGATTATTCTACCAAACCTGCGGCCTGCGGATGCCGGGTTCCCGGTGCCACACGACTCTTTGGTGAAGCTTCGAGCTCGGGGGACCCTCGTCCCGTCGCGGGGACGCGCCGGGACGTGCTGGGACGTGACGCCGCGGTGCCGGGCTGCGAAAAAATCCGGGACGGGGTTTTTGCTAAACCTCGGCGAAGCACTTCACCCGTACCTTTCTTCTCCTTCTTCTCCTTCTCTTCCTCCTCCCCGCCGGCGCCCAGCAGCGTGAAGATGATACCCGTCTGGGAGTTGATGCCGATGGCCGTGACGAGCATCCGTCCGGAGCCCTCCATCACGTGGGTCCCTGGACACACGCGGAGCAGAGGAGCGCACGAGCGCGCACGCGGCTAAACACGGCTGGACCGCCGCGTCTGGTTCTTCGGTCGATGCCAGTGGCTCACAAAAGGGGGTGGGGCATGTGGTGCTGCAGGATTTACATTTTTGTTTCAACGACAGTTTCTGAGCACAGGGCCCAAAGGGCCAAAAACGTCAAGCGGCCGGCAAGAAAGAGCACGATTAAAGATTTAACAGAAACGAGCTTAACGCGTTTATTGAAGCGAGCGAGTTCACCATTATCATTATTGTTGTTATTTTTATCATATGAGCTTGGGAGAAGAAAAGAGACGACGGGAGGAAACTGCAGAGTGGAGCCACGCGAGGGAAGGAGCGAGACGCGTCGTGACCTGCGGGGCGGTGGGCGCGAGCGGCATGCGGGCGACACGACGACGCAGAGACGCGGCAAACCTGAGAGGAGCATGGGGTCGCGGTCAATGGTTTTGCGCACGTGGTCCGACTCGCCCGTCAAGGAGCTCTCGTCGATCTTGAGGTCGTTGCTCTGGATGAGCACACCGTCGGCCGGGAGTAGGTCCCCTGCAGACAGAACACGCGGACGCTCGCGTCACGACTCTTAACTCGCCCGATGCTCCTTCTTGCGTACGGCTTAGGGATTAGCAACTTCAAGATCTGTATGCAAGTTAAAAGGTCACAAAGCAGCTTCAGGTGAGGATCCATCTGCTGCTGCTACTACTGCCATCGCTGAGTGCGTGACGTCGGCAAGTGGTTCATAACGTCCGCCGTGGTCTTGGTCAGCGACTCCACAGTCGCACTCCGGGGCTCCCCTTGAATTTGCACGACAGCTTTGTCGGGTGGTGGAAGTTTAATGATACGACATTTTTGGCACAAAACAGCTACCATGTGGCGCAACCCAAAAACGAATACGGATCATCAAGATCGTCAAGATATTGCCGCGATAAATAATGCAATGGGCGGTGCGTGGAAAGAGCAAACAGTTACCAGTGACAAAAAACCACCAATATTACACGAGGGGTCCGAAAAGCACGAAAATGCTGAACATGGGTCAGCACGCATGCAACTTTGTAAAATAAGCACCGGGAAATGCGCAACACAATTGGAGTCTTGAGATCCTTTGAGGGGGCCGCGTGAAGCCCCCCGCTGGCATTCACATCTGTGGCGCTCGGCGGAGCGCGGCATGGATACCCAATCGAGCGACTAACCGTATTTGACCTGCGCGATGTCCCCGACCACGATCTCGGCCACGGGTATCTGGATGACCTGGCCACCTCGGATCACCGAAAATTTCTGCTCCTGCTCGATGCGGCTCTGCAGCCCACGGAATTGCTTCTCCTTGCTCCAGTCGTTGAAGGCGGTGACCACCACCACGCAGATGACGGACAGCAGGATGGCGGCCCCCTCGATCCAGCCGGCCTCTGCCTCGCCCTCGTCCTCCACGCCGCCTGCCGCGCTGCCACACACTGCACAAAGAGCAGCAACAACGACAAGGGGGGGTCGCACCACGTCACCGCGCGTCATCAAGCGTTCCTTCACCACCCTCGTCACCGTCACATGGGCTGCAGCCGTTCCCCATGTCCACGCTCGTCGTCATCAACCGCGATCAATCCATTGCTGAAGGCCTCCCCAAGCCTCTGCCAACTCACACCACCCTGCGATGCAACGATGCAGCCAGCACCTGCACGTGAATTATTTCATCGCTCCATCTCCTCAGCGGACGCTCTCTCGGACGCGTTTCATTCCTTGGCCATCGGTCATCGTCCCTTCTAGAGGTGACCTGCACAAGCGCACTCGCCTTTTCTTCACAATTTGAATGATGTCATTCACCTGCGTGCGTTCCCTAATCACATTTCCCTCTGCCTGTCTCTCATTGTAATTCTGAATAGAGGTAGTCCTCTACTTACGATGGAGATGCGTTACGACGACCCCATCGTAAGTCAAAAATATCGTAAGTCGAAGATGGCCTGGCCTACCCAGGAGTCTTAAAGAATGGTGATAATTTAGCAAACCAGACCAATTTACAGTACCGTACTGTATAAACTATATACTGTATGTATTTATTAATTACAATACTATATTGCACAGCGTCCCAACGTACAGTATCGTACCTCGTACGCTGCTGCGTTTGCCTGCCGCGTGAAATTTAAAATATTTAACAATTTTGTCGTATCGCTATCGCCATCGTAGGATCGAAATATCGTAACTCAGGGACCATCTGTATACATTGCTTGATGCTTCTCGGAGCACTCTTGCATTTTTGTTCGATATTTTTCGTGAGTGACCGTGTTTCTGAACAACTTGTCATGGCGGGCAGTACGCACCGATTGCAAAACTCTCCTCTCTAGGCACATCGCTTGAGTTCCATTCTCATGACCAAGCTCAGATTTCCAAAAACACTCCCACTCCGCCTCTATAATTGGTCGTGTTAATTCTGGCCCCGCCGGAGGCCGTCATCGTTATGATCCCAAAAAACGGAACGAGGCTTCAAGCACGCCCATCGAAACATTTCCGCACGGAGCCCCACGTACAGTTACGGCGAAATCACTGAGCTGTGTCGCTCTTTTTCAGAAGCGACCTAACCACAAATGATAGCTCAACGAAGTGGCTCGTCACTTGAAAAGTTACAGCAGTCAAACACTCTAAACGCGTGATGTTGATTCTAAATCTGAGGGGAAAAACCGGAGGGCCCGGAAAAAGAATCCACGCGACCACGGGGAGATAACACTGCAAACTCCAAATATACAAGCGTCCGGGTCAGGAACGAACCCACGACCTCCCGCATACCAGGCAAGGTAGTCAACATCTCGCAGGGTCCGGGATTGAACCCACGACCTCCTGCATACCAGGCGAGGTAGTTAAAATCTCGCAGGGTCCGGGATTGAACCCACGCCCTCCTGCATACCAGGCGAGGTAGTTAACATCTCGCCACCACGAGGCGATGTGAAAACATGACGAAGCAGCGCTTCATGTTCCCGCTCGCGAAGCTGGGGGCCGCCCGGGTGGCTACTGGCGGCCGTGGAGCCCCCCTCCTCCCAGACCCCCCCCTCCCAGGCCCCCCCCTCCGAGGACCCCTCCCCCCCCCACCGCCCCACTCACTGACCTTCATTGTCACCCCCGGGGGGGTGGTAGAAGGAGAGGCCCAGCGAGATGAGAGCCGCCACCTCCAGGATGATGAGCGTCACGTCCTGCAGGGCCTCCCACACTAACTGCAGGAAGGTCTTGGCTTTCTTGGGAGGGATGAAGTTCTGGCCGAACACCGATATCCTGATGTCCAGGTCCGAGGAACTCCCGCTCAGCCCTGCGGAGGGGGGGGGGGGGAGAAGATGGTGTGGCGACGTCACCCACTGGGGACTGCAGGGGTGGAGGGACGCGCCAGCTGGGCGACGCCGACGCAGTGCCCGGCGGCACGGCCCGTAGGCGCTTGCCGCTCACAAGCACGACGCACGACGGACATTGGCGGCTTTTGTCTGATTGTTTGAAGCAAAGTCGCTCAGCCCAAAGTGCCAAGCGGCCAGCAACAAACGGCACCTTCAAAGCGTTTAATGCACAAGAGGCGACACGTTTACTGAATTGAGCGGGGTTACTTTTATCAATATGATTATAAGAGCTTGGGGAAAACAGGCGATGAAGGGGGAGGGGATTCCAGAATGAAGCGGCGCGAGGGAAGAAGCAGAGAGACAAGTGAGGTGACCTGTTGTGTGGTGAGTGGGTGAGTGAAAGGGTGGGTGAGTAAGTGAAGTGAGTGGGTGGATGAATAAGTGGGTGAGTGAGTAGAGTGAGTGGGAGAGTGGAGTAAGTGGGTGAGTGAGTGAGTGGGTGAGTGGAGTGAGTGAGTGGGTGAGTTGTTGTGACCTGTAGTGGCGGTGGTTAAACAATCTGCTAGAGGAGTCCAACCACGGTAGTAGCGAGAGAAGAGTGAACACGAGGTGACTGGGTACAGGTGGGCAAGTGACTGGAGGGAATTAGCGCTGGATCATCAATCATCCTGACCGTTGCTTTTCTCTGAATTCTATCCAGTGCAGTGGGGTAGGGACTGGGTGCACCACTTCAGAAATGACAGCAGCAGCAGCAGGATTCCAACACCACACAAAATGTGGGCTCTGTGTGGCAGAATTAATTGTTCGGAGTTAAAGAGGATTTGGCATGGAACAAAAAACCAAGCTTGTTCGATGCCTCCTAAGCCAGATGAATAACACGACCATTCCATGACAGCCCAGATGAGGTTGTTGCGCCAAAGCAGATGAATGATTTTACTATGGCTAAGAATACCGTTGTTAAATATATATGTGGATTTTCAAATCTTAGGTGATGTTATCTTTTCCTGGGGTCTCTTTACCACCTTGACTGGGGGCAGGGTGACGCTCATGTGGCGCGCTCCGCGATGACCCAGCATGAAGAGGGCGCGACTCGTCGTCATCATCATCGCCGCCATCGTCATCGTCGTCATCATCTCGTGATGCCCACTCCACCCAGCTGCGTTTTCACAGCCGTGACCAAAAAGTCTGCGCTGGCCCGCGGTGACGGCCGGCACTGCGGGCCCCTGCGGACGGACCTGCTCTCTCGGCGGACAGCAACCACGGCTCCGTCCCATCGAGCGCTCACAGAATCAGAATCTTTATTTAGACTGGAGGGGGAAATCCGATGAGCTAGCAAGCTCTTTTTCACAGATGTCCAGTCGGGGCACGGGGCAGAAGGCTCGCTCCTCAAGGCGGATCCGGGGCCAAGCCGTGCCAGGCCCAACCCCCTGCTGTAACTTCACGTTACATAAACAGTTTTATGAGTAACTTGTCTTAGACAACTTTTCTTTCTGAAAATGTTTGTATTAGATTTAATATTTAGTTATATTTGTCCGGCAATTTCACGTTCTTCCGTAACACGATTGTTTTTGCTCTGATTTCAATTTGATTAATTGCTGTTCTTAGTTTTTTGTTGTTGCTTTTGTCATTGTGGTGACCAAGGTTCACTCCTTCAGATGAGGCCCTACCCTGGCCCGTTGAGAGTTCTCATCTAGTCAAACAAAATCAACCTGAAACTTAACATTGTCTGCTGTCTGTGCATTGTCAGGAAAATAATTTTTATTCATTTTCAGTATTTTTTTAAAATCTGAATTCTGCGTTGGCTCCAGCTGTAGAGCAGACAACAAATGTGCCACGTGGGAAAAGATTTATTACCATCAGGGGTGCTTTCCTGCCAGTGTTCTCACTGTGACAGCATTGGGGTCACCACTTGTCCAGATTTGACCCAAGCAGTCTGGGAGTTGGCATCTCTGCGTTTGGGAGGTAGAAAATTTATTTGTACCGAGATCAGGTCCGTGGTATTGTGTACGAAGTTTATTTCTGTCAACTGCACAGTTTTGATTTATCTGGGCCGACTTGAGAAATATGTTGCAGGCCAGATTCGTTGACAGCAGCGCGTGTGGCACCGTCAGGATCGAGCGAATTCCTGCAGTGACACGCTCGGGGCCCTGTCCGCCACAATCATCGCCAGGCCCTCTCGGTGCCTAGCGTGTCTCAAATCTTTCGCGCCACTCTGAAACCTTTCATGGGCAGTGTTTGTCTTTTTTTCTTTCGTTCAAAGCACCATTTCACAAGTTCCTTCGTGAATTCCTCCTCCGAGCCGGACAGATTTTTCGCACACCCGGAGGATGAATGCCATCGACGGAAACGTCTCAAGGCCGGCGATGGAGCCATGTAATGGCTGCCGGATACAGTGCATCACTTTCACCTTGATCCGGCATTCCTTGGCCGAACTGCACAAGATACGCGTGGCAGCCGATAAAGGGGTTCATTTTCATCGTTAACCATTTTGTTTACGCTATCGCGTCCACAATCGCTGGCTAAACTACGGACATCCGTAGGTTGCCGCAGTGGAGAGGATGAGCCTTGCAGCGCAGCTCGCGAGCTGTCAAGAGCACAGCGTATGCAAAGCGCGGCTCCCGCGGACATCGCGCACTGTTACTGCACGTGACCTAATTGACCATAAAAAACCTGATCACCCCCCCCACCCCTAACACCTCTTAGCCGCACCTGAGGGCGAAGTGATGAAATGGGCAGGCGACGTTCATCTCGCTCGCAAATCTGTGGGAGCGAGGAGTTAAGTCCGGGGTATGTTCGTGGGTTAGATCGCGTAAATATAAAAACGTCGTTAGACCCGCCACCACCCGACGTAGCCAATTGGTGAAGGTTTTTCACGTAAACGAAATGCGCCGATGAGTCACTAGTTCAACACTAACCGGTTGTGTGTTGAAGAGTAAAAACCCCGCAACCATTTACAATGAGAGTAACGAGACGTTTCTCCACCCAACACACTACGGTCACCCGGGGTCGTCCGCCTACACCGCTGGGGATTGCCGCTGGACGGCTCCTGGGGGATCGTTTCCAAGTGGCAGTTCCAAGGTGTAGACGCGGGGGGGGGTCGGGGGAGGGGAAGGGAGGGGGGGGTGGGCAAATGGCGGCAATAGCCTTCCCCCCGAGATCAGGAATATTTTATTGATATTTACCCAAGCAGATACAGTGAACGTGTTTTTATTATTAATGTTAGGGCCCTATTCAAGTACCTTGACATTTGGGGACCGCCACCCCCATCTCCCCCCTGGGAAGTTTATAGATCCACGGCTAATTGCCTCCAGTTTTTGTACTCGACTCAGAGTCCAATACACACCCCAGGCAACAGCTCCTTTAAACTCCTCCAATAGATTAACATGTTCTTAGACACCGAGACTGGACACTGGGGCTTCAGATGAGCTTCCTAACAAGGATGTTTAAGGCAGAGGACATAGATTCAACTCAATTAGTTATTTTTATTTTACCAGGTAAGGCCCACTGAGCTGTGTAGCTCTTTTTCAGAAGCGACCTGGTCATCACACATGATAGCCCAACGAAGTGGCTTATCATCACGTGGAAATGTATAGAAGCCAAATACTCTAAATGTGCGATGTTGATTCTAAATGTTGAGTAAAAAATTGAAAGACCTAACGAAAAATCAATGCAACCACGGGGAGAGAGAGTGAGACACACAAACTCCAAATATACAGCAGGCGTCAGGGTCGGGATCGAACCCACAACCTCCTGTATACCAGGCGAGTTAGTTGACATCTCGCTACGTGTTACTGTGCAGCTAGTAGATGACTTTGCAAACTTCGGCTGGGGGGGGAGGAGGGGGAGTGGTGCTGCACAAAGGAGGTCCACGAGGTTGTATTCAATGAGCAGGGCTGAGCTTTTCATGGACAAACAAAAACACTCTGCAAGAGCAGAGAAGACGGCATTAGTGATAAGATGCCGACGTTTGAGGGCATGGGTAATTGGCCGTGTTATATAAGAGCCAGTTGCATAAACCCGTGAGCTGCGTGTGAGTGTTTCCGTAAAGCCATGAAGGTGGAATCCTGTGGGATCGGCAATGTGGCAAGACAAAGTCTCTGCTGAGAAACCGGCGTCTCCTGTCCCAAGCCTCTCCGGGACAAAGTGACCATTCTCATCGCTGGGCGTTTGTGTTGCATCAGCGTCCTGATTCACCCCCCAACCTCCAATTGGCATGGCTGGCTACGTACGGTGCGAAAGAAGTTCAACATACATACAGACACGGATACGTGACGCCAAGCAAAGTGGGAGACAAAATATTGCATCGGAGCCTAACGTCAACCCCTCAACTTCATCATCAAAATCATAAGCTATGCTCTATCCACTGCTGGATGAAAGCCTACCCCGCATCCCTCACGTGTCCGTGATGTTACGATCGATGTCGCTGCCGCACGTGAGCCGATCATCTCATCGTTCCATTCGACGGTGGTCATCCACGCTGGGCCTGTCCCTTCTCGTGGTGGCAGGAGTTTGTATCGCGTACGACGCGAGGGCGACTGTCTTCCCTCCGCCTTGCTCTCTTCCACGACCCCCCGACCCAGCGGTTGGGCCACTCTGACGGCCTCTGAGACGCAGGCCGTGTGCCGTGGTGGCCTGCGCGGGGGGGGGGGGGGGGGGCTACAGACCAGGGCCATTTCACCCTGAACCATAGTCTCTCCACTGCTGGCCACGTCGTGTGCCCAATACTAGGATATGAAAAACGAACGACCGTGGGTCGCAGTGCACGGGAACAAGTTACGATGGCACGGGCTGGGAGATGGAGGCGATAACTGAAACCACGAAGAGGCCGATGCGTTGGAAATCCACACGAATTCGAAATGTAAGTTTTGATTTTAATCAATGAATCACTGTTGCCGAGCTCATACACATTACATTGGTAATATTACCACCCTCCTCACACGCGTGGGGTGTTTTTTTGGGTTGTCCGGTTTCCTCTCACTGT